ACTGAAACGTCCTGTCAAGGAGGGTTTTGGAGCAGGCTCTCTAGGGAGACAGACGGTGGAAGCAAAAAAAAAAGTCTTGATTCTTTCAAGAACAAATTAGATAGATTTCTGTTAGGGAATAATTTCTCGGGATATAGTTTGGGACACGACATGTCAAGCGACTGGCATATCAACCGCTCCGCTCAGCAGGCTCCAGCCTGCTCCCCTCCCCCGCCCGGCCCACAATTGGTGGTCAGGCCTTCTGCCTCTCTGCCCCCACCCTTTGGAACTCTATCCCACAGTCCCTTCGCCTCGGCCTCTACTTTGCCTCCTTCAAGGCCCATCCGCTTCAACTGCGCCTTCAGCCACCCTCCTACCCCTACCTCCCCAGCGATCCCAATCCCCAGCTCTGGTCCAAATCTCTGACTATCCAGGGCCTTACGGTGCCCTCCCGACATGAAAGGCGTTGGGTAAATGTTCGCTGTTGTTGTTGTTGCAAGGATGGTGGAAGGAGAACTTGGTCTTCTTTTGCCTAGCAAATTCTTACGTTCTTTTGGAGGCAGCTGTGTGTGTTTTCCCAAGCATTTACTTTAAGTCTGTCTATCTAGGCCAGAAATTGTTGCCAAGTTTAGTTATTACCTACAGTACATATCGGGGTCATCACAATGTGCTGATTGGCAACTCTGTGATCTTCATTGTCTGAGGTTGAGTTAAGAGTGAAGAGTTGGGACTTGTTTTGAGGCAGTGGGTTACTAACAAAGGAGCGCATTTGGCGATTGAGGCTGAGATTGTGAGAGCATCTAAAAAGGAATTAATAATATTAATAATGGATGCAGAACTGGAAGGGAGACAGAAAGCAGAGATTGGTGGTGAACAGTTGTTTTTCTGACTGGAGGGAAGTGCAGTGGTGTCCCCCAGTATTGGGACCACTGCTGTTTTTGATCTATATGAATAACCTGGACTTGGGTATAGGGAGTACAATTTCCAAGTTTCCAGATGGAAAAGTAGTAAACAGTGAGGAGGATAAGAGCAAATGGACATAGACAGACTGGTAACATGGGCAGACACGTGGCAGATGAAGTTTAATATGGAGAAATGCAAAGTGATGCATTTTTGGAGGAAGAATGAGGAGAGGCAATATAAGCTGATGGTACAATCTTAAAGGGGTGAAGGGACAGAGAGACCTGGGGGTCATATAGGTAAATCTTTGAAGGTGGCCGGACAGGAAGATAAAGCTGTTAAAAAAGCATATGGGATACTAGGCTTTATAAATAGGAGCATAGAATACAATAGTCAGGAAGTTATGATGAACCTTTATATAAAACACTGTTAGGCCTCAGCGAGAGACTGTGATCAGTTCTGGGCCCCACACTTTAGGAAGGATGTCAAGGCATTGGAGAGGGCGCAAAGGAGATTGACCAGAATGGTACCAGGAATGAGCGACTTCAGTTATCAGGAGAGGTAGAGAAGCCGGGATTATTCTCCTTGGAGCAGAGAAAATTAAGAGGAGACTTAATAGAAGTTTTCAAAATCATGAAGGGATTTGATAGGGTGAACAAGGAGAAACTATTCCCACTGGCGGTTGGGTCGGTAACCGGAGGGCACCGATTTAAAAAAAAAAGTTGTTAAAAGAAACAGAGGAGGGGTGAGGAGAAATGTTTTCACACAGCGAGTTGTTGGGATCTGGAATGTATTGCCTGAAAGGCTGGTGGAAGCTGATTCAATAACAACTTTTAAGAGAGAAGTAGATAATTGTTTCTGGAGGACAAGTTTACAGGGCTATGGGGAGAGCGCGGGGGAGTGGGAATGATTTGGAAGCTCTTTTCAAAGAGCCAGAACAGACACGATGAGCCGAATGGCCTCCTTCTGTGCAGTATAATTCTATCATTCTATGATAATAATCCTTGCATTTTATAGAACGCCTTATCACGTCGTTGAGATTTCTCAAAGCGCTTCACAGGATATACTGTAAATATTTGGGCAAAAGGCGGCAGCCAATTGCGCACAGCAGCGTCCCACAAACAGTCGTAGATTGAGTGACCAACTTTATTTATTTATTTAGAAGGGATTATTACCCCCTGGAAAGGCACCCACCAATTGACCAGGTTCCTACTTACTACTAGATAAACAGAGGCGTGCGAAGTAAGGAAACTTGCCGAAGGTTTCCACTATTTAAGCCCACCTCAAAATATACCTCTTTGGCTGCGCTTCCGGTTATCAGTCCCCTCCCTCCGCACCCTGTTCAGCTTCCCCCGCTTTCACTTCACTTTTCACTTCCCCCAGCTCGGGTGCCCAGCCAGCTGTGTAAAGCACTGTGAAACACACCCTCCTGATGTGAAAGGTGTTTCATCAATGCGAATACTAATTGTAATCTGCAAAAAAATGAAACAATCCCACTTCTTGGTATTTTCCTGCAACCCAGTTATCTTGCCTTGTCTTCTGAAAGTTCATCAAATGTCAGCCTGGCTCATTCTCTCGCATTGTCTCGCCTCTTGAGCCAGAAGAAGCTCCACGTCAGGTACTTTGAGCTCACAGTGTAGGTTATGGAGATGATGAACCAAGGACATGACTGACCACTTGTCAGGGTCAGACTGTCTTGAGGCGTCCTTCTGAGCACCAAACTCCCTCCACCAACCAACGTCCTGGCTCCTGGCACCCGGCAGCCTCAGCCTTGGTGATAGCTTGACTTTGAACGGGTCGTCACAAGTTGGCGTTTGAGTAGAAGGGCACCTGCTGGGCTTGTGGCTCGTGATGTTATACCAGATGACATTCTAAGCAAACATCCTGCCTGCTCTGCTCGCTGCTCTCTCCCAACCACTCCTTCACAGTCGTGCAAACTGCCAGGCAAAATCCATCAAATCTTCGTCCCCATCACTCCACTCCAATCTTCCTCCTCACCAAGATCCAGACCAAAGACACCAAGCTTTGCTTTCCTCTCTTCTCCCCACCTCTCCCCTCCTGCCCCCGATCCCCTGTCTGGGGTCTGTTGAGAGCAGAAGGGGTTGGAGTATCAGCTTAGACTATGTGATTCCCCTGACGTGGGGGCTTTAATTTTCATGCTTCTGATTCAGAGGCGAGAGGTTGTCACACTCTCTGTTAGCAGCAGAGCACTGACTGATAGCGTAGACCCAGAGGGGGTGGGTTTAGGTGGGGTCACGGGTTCTGTAATGAAGGCTGAGTGAGGGGACAGGGGGGAGGGAGGGTAGATGAGGTGTGTGATTTTTCTTGCGTTCAAGTAACTTGTGAAGCAAAACGCTGACATTTTTGGCACAGCCTCTGTGAGGCGCCCCATTTCTGGAGGGCATTTGTGTCTCATGACGCACGAGACATGCTCTGTAGTAACGCACTGTGGGGTGAGTGTGTCAGTGTCAATCATATTGTATTTATCTCACGACAAACATTTATTAACGGAGAGAATCTGGTGTTGGTGTAAGTCCCAGAGCCACTGGGTGTAGATGACATAATAATATGTTGTTGTAATAATATAATAATATTCCTTGCATTTGATATAGTGCCTTATCATGTCTTCAAGACGTCTCAAAGCACTTCACAGGATATATTGTCAAGCGAATTGACCGCATATTTTGTGGGCGAAATGTGGCAGCACACAACAGTGTCCCACAAACAGTCGTGGATTGAGTGACCAAATTATTTTTATTTATTTTGAAAGAATTATTACCCCCAGGAAAGCGATCCACCAATCGACTAACAACCGGATTTCTAAACAGAGGCGCGTGTGTGTAAGGAAACTTGCCCAATGTTTTGCCCGGGAATCGAACCCAGGTCCTCTCACTTGCGAGGCGAGCGCTGTAACCACTACGGTCTGGAGACTCTGAAGCACAGAGATGGGTTTCCCTGTGTGCCAGACACCCGGCTGAGCACCACCATCCCACCCATGTATTCCATGCTAAGAACCAGAGAGAATTTCGGAGCCAGTCCATCTGATTCCATCCGACTACGTGAAAGGCCAACTGAACGATGGAATTTATGTAGAGCTTTGGCATTAGGAGCGAGGAGGTGTCAGTCAGCAACTCGAGACCTCTATCGACCGAGCAGCTGTTGGGACTCGTGTCGTTTAGCGCCTGTTCATTAATCCGTTCGTCACATTGATGCCTTACACTCCGGACACCTTTACTGATGGAGTCTGCAGCCTGGACATGAATGGTCCCTCTGGAGATTGTAAAAACTAAATGCATTGTGAAATCTATACATCAGATAGTTTGGGACATGACATGTCTAAGCGACTGCCAGGATGGTGGAAGGCGAACTTGATTCTTTCGCTTAGCAAACACGCATCTGGGGCCTAAATCGAGAGGGGAATGATGGTGAGGGGGGAGGGGGTCTACTGTAACATTAAATGGAATAGAGTGAGTAAACCCAGTTCAATGCTTTTCCATGTCATTTCTGATCAGTTTTTATGGATTAACGTCAAAAGTCCTTCAAAATGCAGATTTCTCCAGAGACGCAAATCCTTCAGGAAAAAAGATTGGTCGCTCACTTCATGGCTGTTTGTGGGATGTTGCTTCATGTAAAATTGCCTCCTGTATTCACCTCCACAAATACACGGTCACTACACTTTACAGTAAATGTACTTAACAAAATAACCTTAGGCAAGTTTCCTCACTCCACGAGCTTCTGTTCACCTAGCAGTAAGCAGAAATCTGGTTGTTAGTCGATTGGTGGATCGCTTTTGGGGGTAATAATAAAAATTGGTCAGTCAATCCAAGACTGTTTTGGGACACTTCTGTGTGCAAACTGGCTGCTGGTTTCGCCGACAAAATTACACAGTCAGTTCACTTTACAGTATATTCTGTGAAGTGCTTTGAGTTGTCTCAATGAAGTGATGAGGCACTGTATCAAATGCAACAATTATTAATGTTATTATTATCATAATCACTTCCCCAAGCGAAAGGTTGGGTGCACGATGGGGAGGGGAGGGGGAAGGGGAGGGGGGTAGTTGGAGATGGTACAGCTGGGGAATGTTGCGGGATTTAGCCACCGTGTGGTTTGTTTTCCCTCAGGATCTCTTCACGTCGGAATGCAAGTTCAAAGAGTCTGTCTTTGAGAACTATTACGTCATCTACTCCTCCACACTGTACAGGCAGCAGGAGTCTGGCCGGGCCTGGTTCCTGGGCCTCAACAAGGACGGACAGATCATGAAGGGAAACCGAGTAAAGAAAACCAAGCCATGCTCCCATTTTCTACCCAAACCAATCGAAGGTAGACATGAGCTTTCTCCTTGTTATAATTCCACCTCACACCCCACCACTCTCTCTTTCTCTCTCTTGCTCTATCTTTTTATCTCTCTCTCTCTCCCCCCCTCTATCTCCCCCCCACATTGAGACCCATGTCCTCCCAAGCCAAGGTCTTGCTCCCCTGTTGCCATTGCACCACAGTCACCAGTGTTATTCTCCCTGACGCTGTACAGACTGGGAGCGAAGTTCACATGTGCTTTAATAAGTGTAGAGGAGCAGGGCTTGGTCAAGGTACCAAAACATTTCCCCCAGAAGGAGATAAGGTTCTGAGGTCCCGGGTAATAAAGCGGCCCCTTTGTGATGATGCTGGGAGACTGACACTCTGGCAAAGGGATGGAAAGTGACTAAACACAGACGATGAGGCTTGCTTTATACAACAACTCTTGTCCCCCTGCCTGGTCCACCCCTCCATCGGCATTAGGCCATCTGCCTCTCTGCCCCCACCCTTTGGATCTCCCACAGTCCCTTCGCCTTGCTCCCTCCATTGCCTCCTTCAAGGCACGTCTCAAGGCCTTCCTCTTCGACTGCACCATTGGCCACCCTCCTATCCCCTACCCTCTCTACCCTCCACCCCTCCTGATCCCAACATCCTGCTCAGGTTCAAATCCCTTCCAGGGCCTTGGGACGTGCTTCTGCTGTAAAAAGACGCTGTGTAAATATAATTTGTTGTTGTTGTCAGGGGCTCAGAAGGGGAGCACGGGAGAGTGCTGCAGGCTTTCATAAACTGTTAATAACAGCTCACGTCAGTGAATGATTGTCGCTGGAGAGAAAAAAACTGTACTTTTCTTTCTTATTTCCTCATTGTTTTTCTCACCTTCACTTCTTAGTCCGTCCTTCACTCTTTGTCTTTCCCTCTCTTTCTCTCTCTCTCTCTCTCTCTGTTTCGTTCTCAGTCCATCCTTCACTTTGTGTGTGCACGTATGTCTCTCTGTCTCTCTCTCTATCTCTTTCTCATTCTCTCTCTCCCTCTCTCGTTTGCTTGTGTTTTTTTAAAAAAACAATCAATTAATCTGGAATCTTTACTGACAGCTATTAACTGCTTGTAATAATATATAATATATATATACATAAACGCACTGAGCTCCAAGTCAATGTCTTGTGTTAAAAGCTACGGGTACCAATCCCGTGAGTGACACGGGGAGCTAATGAGAAACAACAACACCGAAGGGGACGTCAGTGTAATCCGGCACAAAATCTTTACCCCCAAAAAGCTGAGATGTATTTTGTCAGCAATCAGGTCGCTGCCATAAACTCGGATGACTTTAATGAGTAAGAGACGGTGTGAGGACCTGGTTTGGAATTTCCCCGTTTGCAGTTCCCAGACCGCAAATCACCTTAACAAAGGAAATCTCTCCCCAGCGCAGAGAGAGAGAGAGAGAGAGGGAGAGACGGGTGATGCCAGCAGCTTCCTGCGTGAAACTCACAGTGCTGTCTGTCTGTGCAAACTGACCTAATTTCATCATTGGCAATTAATTTGGAAGAGTTTTCCCTCCCCCTCCCCCTCCCTCACCCTCAGCCTCGACTGAATCTTATTATTGATTGCTTGGTGACCTTTGACTGTGTGAGAGAGGGGGAGAGGGAGAGAGGGAGGAGCTGAGGAGGGGGAGGAAGGTGAGCGAAGGTGCGGTCGAAAAGAAAGGTTTTCAGCAGAGACCTGAAAATGGGAAGGGAGGGATGAGATGAAGGGAGTGAGGAAGGGAGTTCCAGAGCCTCGGGGCATAGTGGCTGAAGGCACGGCCGCCGAGGGGGGAGCGGAGGACTCGGGGGACGAGGAGGAGGCCAGACCCGGAGGAACGAAGGCAACGGGTACTGTGCTGAGGAGAGAGGTCAGAGAGGTCGGGGGGTGCAGAGGAGTGCAGGGACTTGAATACGAGGGTGAAGATCTTGAAATCGATCCTCTCTGGGATAGGCAGCCGGTGCCGTCTGGCCAGGACTGGGGGGAGCGGGGTTTGGGGGTGGGGGGGAGGGCCAGGACTGGGGGGAGCGGGGAGCAGGTTTTCGTGCGGGTGAGAATGCGGGCGTAAGAGTTCTGAATGAGTTGGATTTTATGGATGGTAGTGAATGGGAGACCGGCGAGGAGGGCGTTTGAACAGTCCAGCCAGGAGGTGACAAAGGCATGGACCAGGGTTTCAGCGGTTTTTGGGGAGGTATTGGCGGAGACGGGCGATGCCTCGGTGGTGGAAGAAAGCGGTGCTGGTGAGGGACTGGAGGTGGGGGAGAAAGGATAATTGGGAGTCGAACCTGATGCCTAGGTTGCGTACTGGTTCGGAGAGTTTTAGGGGGAGGTCGGGTAGGTGGAGGAGGTGAGAACCGTGAGATTTTAGACGTTGACGAGAGCCGAAGAGTATGGCTTCTGTCTTGTCAACGTTCAGCTGAAGGAAGTTTGCGCTCATCCAACTCCTGAGATCTGACAGACAGAACATCAGGGGACTGGGGGTCACAAAGAGAGGTGGAAAAGTAGAGTTGGGTGTCATCTGCATACATGTACCTCATGTCTGCGGATGACGTCCCCAAGAGGGAGCATGTAGATCAGAAAGAGGAGGGGGCCAAGGCTGGATCCTTGGGGTACCCGTAGGTGACCGGGTGAGAGCGGGAGGAGAAGCCATTTGTGTAGATGTACTGCTGGCGGTTCGTGAGATGGGACTCGAACCAGGTGAGTGCGGTCCCACTGAGGTGGATGACGGAGGAAAGGCGGTGGAGGAGGATGGCGTGATCGACTGTGTCGAACGCGGCGGAGAGGTCCAGGAGGACAAGGAGGCAGAGGGAGCCCTGGTCACAGATAGAGAGGATGTGGAGTCCTGTAGCTCAGTGGAGTCCTTAACTCAGTGGTTAGAGCACTCGCTTTGCAAGCGAGAGACCTGAGTTCAATTCCAGGCAGAGGGCAAAACCTTGGGCAAGTTTCCTTACTCCACACAGAGCCTAATAATAATCCCTCCAAAACCAAAAACAATAATAAATTGGTCACTTTCAATCTACGACTGTTTGTGGGACATTGCTGTGCGCAATTGGCTGCCGCGTTCGCCCACAAATATACAGTCAATTCACTTTATAGTGTGTTCTGTGAAGCGCTTTGGGACGTCCTCCTGACGTGAAAAGCGCTATATCAAATGCAAGGATTATTATTATTATTATTATTATTATTATGTTGTTTGTGACTTTCACAAGTGCAGTCTCTGTACCGTGGGCGGAAACCGGACTGGAGGAGTTCGAAAAGGGAGTGGGAGGAGACGTGTGCGGGAAGTTGGTTTGCAACAACGCGTTCTAGAACTTTTGAGAGGAAGGGCAGGTTAGAAATAGGGCACTAATGGCTGGGGTTTGAGGGATCTCGGGAGGGTTTTCTCAGGAGTGGGGTGATGACAGCAGTTTTGAGGGGGCAGGGACTCATCCGGAGGAGAGGGACTGGTTGATAATGTCAGCCAGTAGTGGGCAGAGGAGGAGGAGCTGTGTGGCCAGTAAGTTGATGGGGAGGGTTTTGAGGCAGCAGGTGGTGGGTTTCATGGAGGTGATGGTGGGTGAGAGGGAGGAGGGAGAGATGAGGAGGAAAGAGTGTAGAAAGGGGGTGGTGGTAGGAGCAGATGATGAGGAGGGTGAAGGGGATAGAAAGGGAGTGGTGGTGGGTGACAAGAGACAGGTGGATGAAGCTGCCTGGTGGATGTTGTGGATTGTGGATGAAAAGAAGTTCATGACCTGCTCGCATTTGGCATTGGATGTGAAGATTGAGGAGGCCTGAGGGGGGGCACGGAGGAGGTAGTGGGTGGTGGAAAAAAGTATTTTAGGGTTGTGTTTAGCCTCCAAGATGATGTTGGAGTAGAAGTCCGTTTTTACGCGTGTCAAAGAACGGCGGTAGCTGTGGAGATGCTCGAGCCACAGTTGGTGGTGGACTGTCAGGCCAGTTTTCTGCCATCTGCACTCGAGCAACTGGGTTTGGGTTTTTTGGCGGCGGAGATGGTTGTTGTACCAGGGTACTAGGGGGATCGGGTGGGTTTGGAGATGGTCCTGGATTTTAGTGGACGAGGGAGTTGAAAGTGGAGGAGAGGTGATCATGGAGCAGCTGGACGGCTGCTTCAGGATCTTTGCGGGTGGAAGGCCAGAGGGATAGGATGTTTGATGTTGAGAGGGTTTTTGTGAGGGTCTCGGGGGTAGCCTTTTCCAAGGGCGGTAGAGGATGGTTGAGGGCTTGGTGGAGGAGAGAGGGATGTGAGAGGAGAAGGAGATGAAAAAGTGGTCCCAGATGGCCTTGTCCACTATGCTGAGGTCAGAAATGTCAAGGCCATGGGTGATGATGAGGTAGTGCACGGTTGTGGGAAGGTGAGTTTATATGGAGGGTAAGGTTTAGGGAGGAGAGAAGGGCAGTGAAGTCGGCAGAAGTGGTGCAGGGGGAGTTTAGGTGGAGGTTGAAATCGCCCCTTTATGAGCAGGCACTCGGAGCAGAGGGACAGGGAAGAGAGGAGAGTAGAGATTTCTGTGTGGAAGGTGCCGGGGGGCTTAGGGGGGGCGGTAAACAAGGAGGATTTTCAAAGGGAGAGAGGGGTGGAAAAGGGTGAGGTGCTCGAAGGAGGGGAAGCAGCCAGAGGAGTAGGGGTAAGACCAAGGGAGGCTTTGGTAATGAAGGCCACCCCGCCGCCACGTTGGTTTGGACGGGGGATGTGGTGAAAGGTGTAGCCTGGAAGGTGTAAAGCTACCTCATTACCATGGCAACGGGTCCTAACAGCACACCCAATCTCTTGGCCTCTCACCCGGTTTTAGCCGGTTAGACTCTAACAGTTGCCCCAACGCACACTCTGGGCTCCCCCTAAGCTTTGGTTCTTGCCGACCTGCGCCTTTTCGCCCACAAAATATACATTCACTCTACAGTGTATCCTGTGAAGCGCTTTGAGACGTCTCAAGGACGTGATAAGGCGCTGTATCAAATGCAGGGATTATTATTATTATTAAGGTTCTCCGGAATTAGGTAAGCAGACTGCGTCTCTCCAGGGAGAGAGTGCGCATTCCATTCCAATAAACACCTCTAGGATTTCCATCTGTAAGTGGGGTGTGGGTGGGGGGGGGAGTGTTGGGAGGAGTGAGTGTTGGGGTAGGGGGGAGGATTAGGGTGGAACGGTTGAAGGGTTATTACTGTAAAGGATTCCAACTTCCAATGGTGAATGTTGAGTTGATTTATTTCTTCCAATGACCTTTTGTAATACTTTGTGAGTCCTGCAACTCTGGTTACTTGCTCGATATTTGCACCTCTGGTTTACGAGACAGTATTTCCCGCCCCCATTACTCCCATTAATTCTCTCTCTTCCCCCACCTACATTTTGTGGATCCTGGTTAAAGTCACTCATCAATTTTGCAGATAGCACCGATGGGGGCGGGTGGGATTGTCTGTGATGGACCCTCACATGTGTATCATTGAGGCTCGGACTGTAACCACATTATAGTTAATATGTTCCGAGGCAAATACAACACAGGGGCTCCTCTCTTGCCTCCTTCAAGTCCCATCTAAAGACCTTTGTCTTCAACTGTGCCTTCGGCCACCCTCCCATTCCCCCTGCCCTCCAACCCTCCTAAACCCAACTCCCAGCCTGGGTCTGAAACCCCTGATTGTCCAGCGCCCACGTGAGGGGCGCTTTACAAGTGTAATTTGGTGGTGTTAATTATGTCATTAACCAATGAAGTGAAACAATTCGGTTGCTGATGGCATAATTCAATCCATTTGGATAGTTAATTACAAATAATAACAATAATAATACTAATCCTTGCGTTTGATACAGCGCCTTATCACGTCTTCGAGATCAAACGGGCCAAAGGGACTTCTATATTCACAACCCTTCTGTGTGATCTCCTTTGCTTCTGTCTCTCGCCCACGCTGTGGTGTGATACCAAGTGGGCAGCTGTGCTTCAGGCTGAATCATGCTCAGACTGACTCGAAAGCTATAACGAGAGAATATTTACTGCAAAGAAGGAGGTCATGCAACACGTCGTGTCTGTGCTGGTGCTCGCTCCCGCACTGGAGCTCTGTACTCTAACCCCATTCCCTGCTCTCTCCCCATCATCACCATGGGTTTCTTAAATAAGTCCTGGTCTGGACTCATTTAAATGAGATGAGGTGATTGTTTGGGGGTACGATTATTGAGGGATGGGGAGATGGATTTGTAACATCCAACCAGATTTTAGCTTGATCGTGTGAATGGCCTCCTCCAGTTTCTGCATTACAATGAATGGCTCCTCACTGCACAGGACAGTGTAATAATAATTATAATAATCCTGGCATTTGATACATTGCCTCACCACGTTGAGGCATCTCAAAGCGCTTCACAGAATATATTGTAATATGGACTGACTATATTTTGTGGACGAAACGCATTTTGTTTGAAAGAAATGCGTCAACACGAGTGGGTGAGGGGTGGGGGGGTGGTGGGAGCTTGTTACTGGGTGTGAGACAGCACTGACCGCTGGCTTCTTCTTCACAGTCTGCATGTACCGGGAGCCCTCACTGCACGAGCTGGGAGACAAGCCAGGACGTTCACGGAAAAGCTCAGGAACTCCAACCATGAACGGAGGCAAAGTGGTCAATCAAGAGGAGGGCACATAGCAGGAACCTCAGGCACAGACGGGTGGACGGGTGGACGGACGGGCAGACAACAGACACACAAGACAACCTGAACTGAATCGAAAGACACAACTTTGAGAAACATCAAGAACTTCCCACCTCATCTCTTTATCTCCCTGCCCCGCCCCAGTCCGCCCCGCCCAGTCTCCATCGAGAGACGAGGTTTGTTTTCTTGGAATGATCGACCCTTCACATGAACTCAATCGTTGCTTGAAAGAAAAAAGTTGGGGGGTGGGGGGGGAGGGGAGGGAGGAGAAAAGAAAATTAAAAATCAGGACTTGATTTTTTTTTCATTCTTTATGCCAAACCTCTCTCCGCTCTGAGGTGAAACTCCGCGAGGAAATAGAATATTATTAAATAAAGGAAACAAACCGAAAACCTCCCCCCAAAAAGAAACTGGCTTACACATCCTGCACGTTTGAAACTAGCAGCAATGACAATAACTTGCATTTGTATAGCACCCTACACGCGGAGTAGCATCTCGGAGCGCTTTACACAAGAGTCCCAAAGACTGCCTCTCTCTCTCTCTCCCCCTCTCTCTCTCGCTTGCTCGCTCGTTCGCTCGCTCGCTCACAGGTTGAACTTCAACTGAAGACAGAACTTATGTGCAAAAGCCTCTGCTGTGTCCATTTAAACAGGTGAGGAAATATCAACACCGTCCCTCTCCATTTAACCTGCTTCGGGTCCAACATGTCTCAACGCTAACTGAGCCCTTCCTGCATTGGTGGGAACAGAATGAAAAATAATAGAAAGAATTGACGACTGAGCCCAACATCCGCACCCGCCCCCCGGCCCCACTGTGGTGAAATATCCAACACGTGCCTATCCAGTGTTGGGTGTGAAGGCCACTAGTTATGGTAGGTGATTGGACTTAGTGGAGCAGCCTGTAGTTTTCAGTTGTTAATATTTCTAGTGGATCTCATATGTGGCTCCACACCTTGTCTCAGTCAGTAGAAAGATGTCCATGGTTTGGCAGCAGATTAGATTGGGAACCTTGACCTTGGCTGAGCTAAACGAGCTGCTCTTAGATTTGATGTCCATCCTGAAGCTAAGATGTGTCCATTAGCCCGTTAGATGGTGGCATCTCAGGGCAGCTCGCTCAGTTAAGTTCCGAGTTTGGAGCGAGGTCAACCAATCGATTACCATGTGTTGGTGGCTTCAAGGGAAGGTGGGTAGTGAGTGTGGGGGTCGGGGTGGGGGGCCGGCGGGGAAGAGGAGCATAATAGGATCGCCCTACAATTGAACTTGCTGTGAGAAGATGTTGGTAAACCAAGGCACTTGATGGGTGACCACCTGATCTGCCTCACCAATGCGGTTCCATACCAATGTGGTGTAGGCAAGTCATAAACCGTGCAAGCCCAAATCCCTGACTGTACTGATTCTCCTTTGGAAATTTGGGATGAGGGATCCCAATGTTTGCTCCTACATACAGTTTGTCACTGTGATCTCAGAACTGTGTGTTCCTGTGTTCCCTTCGGCCCATCGTGCCTGTGTAGCTCTTTGAAAGAGCTACCAACTAGTCCCTCTTCCCGCTCTTACCCCAGAGCCCTGCACGTTTTCTTTTCAAGTACCTACCCAATTCCCTTTCGAAAGCTACTATTGAATCTGCTTCCAGTACCCTTTCAGACAGTGTGTTCCAGACGGTAATATTCCAGATCGTAACAATTAATAATAATAATAATAATCCTTGCATTTGATATAGCTCCTTACCACGTCTTCGAGACGTTTCAAAACGCTTCCAGGATACACTGTAAAGTGTAGTGACTGACAAGCGCTCCGGGATGCTACCCCGCGTGAGGGGCGCTACATAAATGAAAGTTGTTGTGTATTTTGTGGGCAAAATTGAATTAATTTTTTAGGGATGTGGAATGTCGGAGCAGTGATGCGCACTCTTAAATTGTTAATCCTCCCGTGATTCACTTTTTGGATGTTTGCAGTTTCCAGGCGACCATCCCACGCTCACTTTCTCTCTCGCTTGATGCATAAATCTACCCGCGCAGCTCTAATTAGGGTCAGGCTGCTTAAATCGAGACTCCGTTCTCAGAGGTCTAATGAAATATTCATGATCCTAAGTGTATTTTGTCACATTCTTGGCTACAGCAAATAGCAAACTCTCCTGCATTTTATCTTGTGAGCAGTGCAGGACTGTTGCGTATTTCTGTTAAACCCGATTTAAATCTGGATCAATCTCCTTTTCTCTCCCCCCAGACTCCTACCTGAACTCTGACAGACTACGTTCAGGGTGTCAGATACATACAGACACCCATCACCATCTTTAACAGTATCCAAACCAGACTTAAATCTGGTGCTCTCTCCCCATCATGTCTGTGCTGGTGCTCGCTCCCCCACTGGAGCTCTCTACTCTAATCCCATTACCTGCTCTCTCCCTCTTCCCTTTAATATGCTTGTCCCTCTTCAATACTGTTATGGCCTTGACTTTAACAACCGTTTGGGATATTGCAACAAACTGTGAAACAAAGAGTCAGTGTTTTATTACACAGTTATTTCCAGCAACAGATAACAGTTGACAATTTTGCAAGCTCCTGTTAGATTCCCACTTAACCTTTTATTTCCCCAGAGAAAGCAGCTGCAAACCAAAGTCTCCCGGTAATTGAGTGTTGAGCTGCCATGTTTAATGTTGATCTCGAGTTCCCCCACAAGAGATTCACGCCCAGAGTAAAACCGACAATGTCAATCACCTTTACCGTCGCATGGTACACAAATCTACCTAATCGCTTCCCAATTATTTTGGTGAAATTATAATAATAATAATTCTTGCATTTGATACAGCGCCTTATCATGTCTTCGAGACGTCTCAAAGCGCTTCACAGAATATACTGCAAAGTGAATTGACTGTATATTTTGTGAGCCAATTGCGCACAGCAGTGTCTCACAAACAGTCGTGGTTTGAGTGATCAAATTATTCTATAATTCCGAGGAACTGGGTTTAAACAGATCAGCTAAACTGGTGGGAACAGGCTCGATGGGCTAAATGGCCTCCTTCTCCTATTAGGTGATTTTAAAAAAATGTTGAATATTTTGGGGAGAGGAATTAGTTATTTTATCAAAATCAGAAAAATAAGGAAAGAGAAAAAAAGGGGCCTTTTGGTGAGAATAGTGGACGAAATTGGTGTGAACAGCTCGGGATCTCAGTATCTGTTTTAACTCTTAGACACTGAGCACGACACCTTCCTCTCCCCCTCCTCCCTCCAGAGCTCCAGAGTTGGGATGTTCAGCCCAGAGTTCAACATTATGGGGGTAAATAGGGAGAAGCCATCTCCACAGTGACGGGAGGGGGGGAGGGGGAGGCAGGGACGCACAGTTATAAGATAGTCATAAGAGGAGCATCGAAGGAGAGTTTAGGAGATATTGTTTCACACCGAGTTGTTGTGATGTGGAACAAACGCCCTGCAAAGTAAGGTGTTGGTAGCAGAGGTTTGGAGGGGTTGGGGGATAGGGCTGAGCAGTGGGATTGAATTGGGTGTCTGACACAAGTGGAAACCCTTCACCGTTACTTAAGAGTCTCCAAACCAAACTGAGAATTCCCTGCATCCCAACCACATGTGGAAATCCCAGAGATAGATTGTTGGAATGGAATGCGCTCTCTCTCCTTGGAGGGACACATCCTGCTCAAGTAATTCCGGAAAGTATTAGGCACAGGTTGGCAGGAGCCAAGGCTTGGGGGGACCCCAGAGTGTGAGCTGGAGTAACGGCTGGAGTCTAACCAGCTAAAACTGGATTGATGGACCACCAGCATGTGCTGTAAATTCCAGGAACTGTACGTACTGTACGACTCTTGAAATTTAGCAGAATCCAGTTTAACATCGAGGCTTTAAACTGGACCGTTCGTGCCTCCGTGTCATTCTGCACCCGTTTTACCCTGTTTAATCCTCTCCAGAGCTGAGCGCACCCATGCCTTGTTTTCATCCGTTTCTATTCTCCATCAAAACAGCACTTTGTTTCCTCTTGTTCTTCTCTCCTCCCATTCCCTCGGGTGGGGGTGGTGGGGGGGGGGGGTAAAGAAAGAGGGGGAAATCGACATTCCTGGCAAAGGCAGCAAACCACCAGAAGCTTGTGCATGAGCTGGCTGTAAATCATTAATGAGGCCCTGTCACTTCTATTAGGGACACAACAATCACGTTATTCTTTAAATAATAAATAATCCTTGCATTTGGTGCAGAGCCTTGTGACATCGGGATCACATCTCAATGCGCTTCGCAGGATTTTACTGTAAAGTGTAGTGACTTGTGTAGGCGAACTACTTTGTGAACCTATCTTCCCGCTTCCGCACCCGGCTTCATTGGCTCCCCATCCCCCGGAGGATCGAGTTCAAAATCCTTAGCTTTCAAAGCCTCCCAAGGCTGTGCTCCTCCCTACCTCTGTGACCTGCGAACCCCTGCCCAGCCCAGCCCACCCCACCATCGGCGGTCAGGCCTTCAGCCTTTCTGCACCCACCCTGTGGAACTCCATCCCTGAGCCCCCCCCACCTCGCCGTCATCCCTTGTCCCATCTCAAGATCTTCCTCTTCCATCATACTCCCACTTCCCCTACCCTCCACCCCTCTTGATCCCAACCCCCAGGTCGAGTGCAAACCCTTAACTGTCCAGTGTCTTGGGGACGTCCTTCTGATGTGAAAGGCACTGTGTAAATGTAATGTGTTGTTGTGAGGGGTTCAGGCACTGTGTCACACGCAAGGATTATTATCCTTATTATTGTAATATTATACATTCGCCCACAAAATACACAGTCACTTCACTTTACAGTATATTCTGTGAAGCTCTTTGAGACGTGACAAGTGCTGTATCAAATGCAAGGATTATTATCTCTCTATTTATCTATATATATATACACATATCAGCATATAAAATGGGGAGGAAGAAAAAGTGAATAGTGGAGGAAGCAGGCCGTGACAAGTGTTGCCGTTACTGTGATGTGCACTTGACAACACTGAGTGTTATCGTGCATTGAAGAGAGAGACACCCTGAGCAGCGAGTGAGGAAAACTCTTCTCCACACTAGAGGATGCTTGGCAGCTTGTATACGAGTGTAAAGAGAATACTCAATGATGGACTGCCTGCGCTCCCCCACTTGTGAGGTTGGCCTACATAAAACGTTCCCGCGGCTGTACAGCTCGGGAGATCAAATGCTCTTTTATGAAGAGCAGAGTAGAGGCGCTAACCGGAGACTTTAATTAGTGCAGGCGTCTCCTCTGTGAGCAGAGCCTGGCTGTCAGCACTGAACGCGGCCTGCTAACATCCACTCGGAAAACTGGAATTCAATTCTTACCCACCCCCACTGTGGGTGATGATCCCCCCCCCCCCCCCGAGGAAGGGAGAGATGGGTGGGTTGGGGGGAGATGGCCGAAGGGACTGTCAAAGT